TATATATATATAAACAATAATTAAAAAAAGGTCTTACCATTATTCTTTATGGACGTTTTCTGATCAATCACTCACTCCAATCAATTTTGCATGAAAATCATTAAGCACATGCAAACATTGCAAATGACAACGATTAGGATTAGGTTAGAATTAGGTTAGATCCTCTAGTAACTAGTAAGTCTGGAGTCTGAAGCAGTCTGGAGTTCTCGCTATCAATCATGAAACTTTATCTCTAGGATGGAAAATGAAAAGTGAAAAGTTTCTCCATTAATTTCAATGGTAAAAATTTTCACTTTTCATCCTAGGGATAAAGTTTCATGATTAATATCCATAGAAAACGGAAAAACAATGACAAATCAGAACTCGACTGGTAAGTGATACATACAAAAAAACCGAAATTGTCGACTATCAGGGCAAGTTCTGATTAGTTGCTGCTTTTCAGTTTTACGAAGATATGTTCCAAAATTCATTGCCAGTGCTGAAAATGTTAGTATATGTAACGTAAACTGTACATTTTCAGCGCTGGCAGTGACTTTTGGAACACAGCCTGCTTTTTCGTCAAGGTGTGAACGCGCCCTAAAGCGGGGAGCACATACTCTTGTATAACATATAATGCATAAGAAATTGAACTAATCAAAGTCTTTCGTTTTTTTTCTTTTCATGAAATAAAGAACTCTGATCGGTTCAATTTCTTATGCCTCATGTGTTATGCATTATGCAAAAATCTGTGCTCCCCGCCGAATGAGAATACTTAACTGTGATTAGTCAATTCTTACAGATTACGGCATACGGTTATTATGGCCAATATAAACGCTCCCTTTCAGCACGTCAGAGAGAAACTTGAGAGAAGTCATGCCTTTTTTCTGTTACCGTCAAAATCGCCCGTACACTACCATCCATTTTCTGTTTAGGAACTATGTGATTACAGGATAGAAGCGTGTCGACTATCTTTCGAAAGATAATCTGTACGATATTGTCTCACTGTGTAAGAAATTTACTAGATATAGATAACAGAGGATGTTTTTCAATAACGTATACGTAACACAATGTAACACTGTGTCTTACACAAAGCTTTTCAACTATAACATAGTGTTACTGCTTGACACAGTAAAAAGCTAAGTATGAGTGTGTAAAATATATCAATGTCATCAACTTTTTAAAAAGTTATTTGGTAGCCATACTTATTTTGCAATAAAACCTTCAAAAATCGTCAATTCTGAAAAAATTATAACTTAAATCTAAATAAAAATCATAAATCTATTATTGATATGCTAAATATAATTATAAGAATAGAATGGAAGACTGCAATGCATTCTGGTGTTACACTATGAAACTAAATTGCGTTCCAATAAATATTTTACATAGTGGAACACAGTGTCATGTCTCTGTATCCTAACTAAAAAATAGCCACAGATACCAACAGCGTCAAGGCTGTGTGACTCAGTGGCAGAACGAAAGTTTACCAAATTGGAGGAGAAAAGGCCTGGGATTGAGACTACTCTGATATTTTTCTCTGTTGTCGTCAATTGTTTACAACTGGCAGTGAATATTGGAACGCTCCAATAAAATCAAATGTATTGACAAATAATGAGACAATGCAATGATATTCTTTCTCATATGATGTTCGATGAAAAGCATTGCAATGGTCTGGTACTCTATGATAAACTCCTGCCCGTCGAAATACTGACAAAGATTCTCTTTTATATCGATTGCAAGACTGCAATGAACTGCCAATTAGTGTGCAAACGCTGGCAGATGCTGATGAATTATGTTTGGTACAAAAAGATTAATCAGATTGTGGCTAAACCATTTCCCTGGGACAATAACATGCCCTGGTCTGTATTCTATTTGACATGCACGAAGAAGTCATATGGGAGAAATTTATTGAAGAATCATTCTGGCGCAAAAGGCATGGGTTACTGGACAGGTCTAAATTGGCGTTACAGAACTGGCAATCAAAACTGGCATTCTTGGATCGAGCGACTATCTTTTTGTGTATCAAAATCAGATAGTGTACAGTATAATCTCACAAAATGTAGATTTGGAAGATGAGGGAATTCATCCATATATTATAGATACATATCGACCAACAATAGTGGTATTGTCAAATTTTATGATAAAAAATGTATGTGTAGGGGGAAACCGAGTCATTATGGGTCATTGATTGTTTAACGTAATCTAGAAATGTTTAATACTACTGATACTAGAATACGACTATTATTTCGTTGCCCATATTTTTTATCTGGGTGACAGTGATTAAATTCCATTGTATCGAAAAGCATCAGTTATTAATGATTTTCGTGCAATAGTAACTTTTTAACCACATAAAATGTGTTAACTCTACTGACATAGATCACTATAAAACAATACAGAAAGTATATATCCTAAAAGAGCCATTTATACTTCTAACAATTAATTTTATTTTATTGGAATAAATTTTTTTATTAATGTTTATTTCTCATTTATTTTATTAATAATTTTCTATTATTTTCTGTATTATTTAATAATTATTAATTATTAATTATAATCATATTTTATTGTATTAGTAACTAAAAATGTATAAGTTAATTAAAAATATTTTTCAACTTTCATCGTTACTTGCATAATTCTATTTTGTGTGTGACTTATAGTACCCTGAGTACGAGACATCATGAGTCATTTCTTAAAAAATATATTTTAATTTTTTTCTTAAAAACTAATAAATATTTACTAAATATACTTATTATATTAAATTTTAAAATATACATTATGCTTTAATCATTAAAAAAATGTGTATATTTAGAAAATTTTTATATTTAGATGTACTTTTAAGATACTTTTGAATTTTTGTGACTCAGTCTGGGGATGTCCCCAGTCTCCTGTATGTATATATGGCATATGTAGAAATCATATACAATTGTAGATTATACATGTTATATATAATACATGTAGGTAAATGAATGAATCAACTGTCGGGGAGATCATTCATCAGTGAGTTATGAGTTGACAGTTGAATTAATTAACAATCAACAATAAACAAGTAGAGCAATTTTACATTATGATATAAAGAGAGAAGAACAGAATCAATGGCTACAAGTAAATATCTATGAAGTAATTCATATAATAATTCACATTTACATATGAAAATTTAAACATAATCCCAGATAACATGCATGTCGTATAAGCTATCTAAAAGACATCTTTTAAATATCTTGTGCAACATAAATGTTATCTGGGAGAATACATTTCTTCAATTTACATTTTATTGTATGCTGTTTCGCAGTTTTCACATACATTTGAAGACTATGCAGTTGGTGTTAGAAAGATATCCTTTAAGCACGGTGAAATAAATGGTTTAAAAATGTCTAGAACATGTGTTTCTATGAAAATTCCTGAAAAAGTTTTCATTCTTTCACAAGCTGCGTGATACAATAATACAATCGGCTGAATATTTTCGAGCAACGTACACAGAAAATACTACGTACGAATTCCATATTTTCAACTATATTGACACAAGTCAACATAAACCTACATAACTAAAATGCATTACAATGTCGAACGCAGCTAATGTTCTACATTATATAATCTGTAAATACTAATCACAATAATACGGTCAGTATTTATTGGTCAATATTATTGATCGTGTGAGAGATCTATGATATAACGTGCTTCTTCCAGAATTAGGGAGTTTTTCAAGAAAAGGCTTTCCGGATTAAAATTTATAAATAAGAAATATATGTTTTATAAAATATCATTTCTTTTATTCATTTTACTGTCAAGTATTGTCTGTATAAGCAATTCTTAACACATTAATGCCGCTTCTTAATAAAGGTATTTACATTATGTATTATATATCGTTTGTTTATATAACATTAACCTTTATTAATTACATTAATAATTAATAATTCAATAATATTTATTCATTTTTTCTTGCAAATAATAATGATTATTTATGTAACATTTATATCAATAGATTTTTTTTACTTGTACAATTTTGTACACTTGTGTAAGTTTTACAATCAAAAGCACATTACTGCTCAAAAGTATTATACTTGTCTCAATTTTTGTACATATTTTTTTTATATGCCTAAATCGCATTCTAATTCTATAGGAGATAGAGTGAGCAAATACTTTTAAGCGATATTGTATCCATATTTATCAACATAAAAAGGAATATCCAGTTTTCCGATTATATCAATGATTTATGTATTTTATGTTCATGAATAGTACTGTATTAGTCTTTTGGATATTTGCACGTGTCATTATCCAGTCAAAATACATGCGTACATTTTTTTAAAATTGTCGCATACTAATATATGAGTATAAATTATTTCTCTGTTTGTTCACTCGTCATTTAGACATTTAGGATATTAATCTCTCATATTATACACGAGTTGTCATTAATAACTGTAATTCGATTTTAATATGTATTTAACAACACATTCGCACACACCAAAGAGTAGTTTTGCCTTTTAAGCACAAAATATCTCTTCGTTGAAGAGAAACGAAGATACGTAACACCCACTATTGTAAGCTTTGATATGCTTAATCAAAAAATTTCTGCATCTCGTATAGATTTATTTACCTCGTTTTAATAACAAATCTCCTATCTATCTTCTTAAAAGAGTTACGCTGAATCTTCCATCTGAATGCAAATGTATCAGATGATATCTGGGATTCGAACTGCAATTTAACATTTTCGTAATGTTTTTGGACTTCGTCAAATCCCATTCAGGATATTGTTCTGTAAATTTTTCGTCCTAGTATATAAAGTTTCCAACTTTTCGTGATGTGTGATCCAAATCATATTCTTAATATGATATAAACTAAAAGTTGCATTTTGTTTTGCACGAAAATTAACACATACCGCAAAATATTACAAAAAAATTGAATCCCGAATATTTTCCAATCGAATAATTTATACTCACATAATGTAAGTGAACTCCTATTTCACCTAATACATGCCTAGCGTTTATAGACGCATAAAATATGTATCATATGATACTATTTATAAAAATTCATTTAATTGCGATGTATATATATCGACGTATACGTGAAATAATAATTCTGAGAAATTGTTTGGTCATGCTTTGTACAAAGTTATACTATTTATCTTCTTAAAGTTGTACATCATTTGTTACATTAAAATATTAATTGAATTATTATACTTGAGACTTTCTATAAATTTAAGTATGTATGCGAAAATCTGACTTTTATCTATGTGCAAGATAAAATTTAAAGTTAACAGAGCACATAAATAATTCTACATTTGAGAAATCAAATAAT